ACACCCCCCAGTATAGCTCAATGGGTCTCCGAGGTACACAAACCGCCACACCACGGTAAGGTCCAGTCTCTTCGTGACGGCCTAGACGGGAAATCGAGTTGCAGAGGTCAGGTTCAAACCACGGACCTTCCTGGCGCCCTGACCTCCCCCGGCCTTTTGTAGTTTTTGACATTGCCGATCACCGGCTTATGCATGTCTGCTGTAAATAGACTTTTAAGAATATCACTGGCTACCAACCCAGTCGATGCTGTGGCTGTAATATCGCAGCAGAAATAGGGTGAAGGTTTCAGCGATGGCTTTTGATGCTCTTCGAAATCGAAGGCGAGTAACCAGTTTTGGGACCAAGAAGGCCAGTAGAACGCTCGAATTTTCCAGCCCTTGGTGGCGGACCCACGCTTATCAAGTGTCCTGGTACTGAAACTGGTGGGCTGCTTCTCACTGGTTGCGCCAATCGTGATTGTCGGAGAGTCGAATGGTACCGATTACTCTGCAGGCCTGAATAACACCTTGAACAATCGCCAGGCATCTGACGATTGACGAGCACCGTAGCCTAGTTCTGCACACGTGACTGCTGTTCGGAATGAAACCTACTCTGTCGATCGTTCAGTAAACTTTGGCTACGTGTTGCCTGATGTGAACGAAGTCGCCACTTTTATTTACACCATCAGACGACCGAATAAGAGCTGGTAGTTTGGCACTCTTAAACAGGCCACTTAAACAGGCTCTTGTGGTTACCGGAAGTGAGTACTGAGTATGATGGATCGATTGTATATTTAGAACTCCATTGATCGGTAGCACTTTTCTCAACATTGACTGAGGTCGAACCATTCAAGGACAGGGCATGTGGAGTCATTAACAGCCCAAGCTTTCGCGTTACAGTCGCAAACTATCAGCAGAATGTTGCGGTGTAGATTCTGACTGTTTTCGGCTCGTATAACTCGTCTTCGGCAGAACTGTCTGGAAATGAAGTAGAAGCGTATACCGTGAAAACGTTCAGCTTGACTGACAATCTTCTAAACTGGGTCTTCATAATCCTTGACTACATGGACACTCGGGGCAACTGCTGCCTTGTGGCGACCAGAATTATCATTGAGACGGTTTTGGTGGGGCCAAAGGAGAGCATTTACGTTCTGGACTATAATGCGCCTTTTCGAATTCTGCAAAGTTGTTTTAGAGAGGCGAATGATATCATCATCACCATCATCATCAAAAACAGCAAAATCAGTGTTGGCACTGAGTCTTCACCGCCGTAAAACCATAAGGTTCGTCTCCTTGTATATATAGGTGCCTACACCTCCAACCGCTCAATCAGACAATCTGGAAACTGGCAGCACGAACGCCACTAACATCGATTAGCCGCCATTTCTTGCAACGTCTCCAGCCAAGCATAGACGGGGTCACGGGGACCCCATCCTGGAAGTCTCACAACACCAACAACACCCAAACTCTTCGTGATCTTTTTCACGCTTTTCTGCAAAGTCACGCGCTGTCCACCTCGTGGTTTGTGCCATCGTGAAGAAGGCACGGAGAACAACACGTCTTGTTAGACGGGGTTTCGACATGCGTATCGCATGACCGAGCCATCGTAGTCAATGATGCTGAATGTTTTCTTGGATTGAAGTACCTTCGGCACAACCAAATACCCATTTTCTAATCCCCTCGTTACTAACAAGCTGACGCCATCCGAAACCAGCCACGCTTCTGAGGTATCAGTGGTCGAAAACCTGAAGACGCCTCACATCATCTGTCCGCAGAGGCCATATGTCTTACCCATACAACAACACGGCCCTTACTGTAGGCTGGTGCACAGGAACCTTCAGATCTGGTAATGGTCTTGAAGATTTCGCTTTATGGTACTTTATCTTCGGGCGTCCGAGGAAGTACGGGTGCTGCAACACCCACTGAGTGCTTTATCCATCAGTCTGAGGAGCTAGGTTTATTTGTCGCCATAGTTGCTGGACTGACACATGATGTGTTGCTAGTTGGATCAGGATAGATAGAAAGGAATCGTTGGAGACGTGAAGTTACGTGGGACTTTTGATATTAACAACTTACCCAAAGCTGCATGGATTTGGGCAGCCGCGTCCAACCACAAGGCAGCAGGACTTTGACAGCCGCTCAGGTAAAACCGCCCCATAACCGCTGGGTCCAGGTGATCTCTTTCGCCCAATATGTCTGAATTGTCTTCAGATTCTTTCCGTTTTCGGATTGAAATCAAGGCTCAGCCAACTCTTCCGATGGACAATCAATTGAACTGTCAGCGTCGTAGCGTAGAACGCACGCTTTCGGCCCTTCACGTTTTCTGGAACCACTGCGACAAGTAAGCAACAAATACCACTCAAAAGTTATATACTAGCAGATCTCCGAGGGACATTTCAGCAAAGTGCAAAGGACGGTTTTAAGGCGGTTCCGACGTGGTGGACTACAACTCCAGTGTTAGTCCTTGACTTGTTTTTCCAAGTATTATGCTACCCTGAGATACGAGACGCACAGTGATTTCATGTTGGTGCCTATAACGTCGAGTTTTGTTCTAATGGGTCGATTTGTCCAGTCGGTTTGATGCAGAATCGTATGTATCTGACGCAACCGATCAGTGTACCCACTGTTTCCGCACATTTAACCATCTCCCAGCCTAAGTATAGTCGCAAAGTTCTACCGTCCGGTTGTAACACCGTTCCGTTACCTAGCTGCCATTTCACCCGAATAAAGCACGAGGGCTGGACCCTGCCAGGTTGTGCAAGCCTAAACATGGGAAGTCGAGATGCAGAGGTCGGGTTCGAACCACGGACCTTCCGGTCAGTAAATTCGCATTCTAACCACAGCCATCTCGCACCCCAAGTCGCAAAATTCAAATAAACTGCAACTTCGAGTGTTTACGAACTTACCACATATGAGAAAGTTAGTCAAACACTTTAGGCTTTGTGTGTATCAATTAAGACCAAAAGTTTTGCTCGGTATTTGTTGGATAAATGCAAGCAAGAGCACGGACAGCCTTTATCAACACCTCCAGAAGCTCAGTGCTCTTGTCGTCCATTTACGTTACCAGTCCAAGCTGACTTGTCAGGCTACTCACTCTTTTTGAAGCCCTCTGGAGGGCGAAGGAACTAGAGATGGCACACAGCAGTCACTGTCATATGAGAGTGCTTCTATGCCTAGCAATTGTGGTGTGGTTCACACCATCTGACCATCGCTCAAAGCCCATTCTGGAGTTCTCCGTTCATTTTTTGTGAACAAACGTCTTTTCTGCGGTTCATATTTGCCTTAAACACGCATCCAGGTACATTATGTGTTATGCTATACTGTTTGCGCTCATTGATGCCGGGAGCTCTGGAAGCCGTTGGTAGACAAAATCTCAAAAGTGTAATCTTAATGACCAGCAGGTATTAAACAAGCAACGCTGTTGAGGACTGATGGACAAAGCGCTTTAGTATGGCTGGGGCTAAGTGTTACGTCCGGGCAACGAACAAAGATAGGATTTGAGAATAGTAACGCGTTTTTCATTCGTTTAACAGCGAAATTAAATGAGCTGGAATTAAAGAGTATAAAATGGTGAATATAAAAGAATACGAATGCATCATCATCACTGTCAGATGTAAAAACCGTGTACTTGCTGTACAGTGATTATAGCTACTATATTTCCGTTCATCGATGATTTGGCGAGGTGGGGTAGATAGCTACGCACTAGAGGCAGTGGTTCATATACAAGGAGTCAGTGAAGTTTTCATCCAGGAGGTTGGGAGAAGAGCTATGCATTGAAGTCAACAGCCTAGATGCATGGGAATTTACGGTGCAACTGGGCTCTGTCTGATGATGTCTCTAACAATTGATGTGTCCCGTCTTGGAGTCCCCATCCGGGGAAATGGTAATGACCGATGTAACTGAGTTTGACGGAAATAGCTTTCATATTTCGCTCCAAAATCATTATTTGACCTCTCTTGGGTCGTTTTCACCTTTTGCGTGGTTGTACGAGGAGGGTTCTTTGAGGAGGTTCGTCAACTTGCATACGGAGCACATGACCAATCCAGCGCAACCTGTGGAATGTGGTCAGTTCGTCACTCTTACGAAAACTATTCGACGTACTTCAGCATCACTGATCCGGTGTTCCAACCAGACTTGGGCAATGGTCAAACACTGAAAGTCTTTTGACGTCCTCAGCGCGCAGCGGCCGTTTCTGACTCATAATACTATGCAGTGCACCATAGCATTTTAAACTCCATCCTTGACAGATAAGCTGATGTTACCCGTATGCCACAGGTGATAAAGGTTCACAAAAGCTGCCCTGGTTTTCCCATTCCGGATGGGAATGTCATCTGTGGCTAGTCAGAGACAGGCTTGGTTATAAATGAAGAGCCTATAGTTGGACTAAGGGTGCTCATCAAACATTCACTGTGTATCACACTCCAGGTAATTGACGGAGGCGCTGGTGTGCTTTGGTGAAAGCATTTCGAACAAAGTTGTTTTAAACAAGCGCTGAAGTCTTTTAATTCCTGAGCTGTCTTTTGGCTTGTCTCAACGACCGTTTGCTCTCAGGTGCTGTTTCATAGCATGGCTTCATGTTTCACTTTTATTACACTATTTCGAATGAGTACCTTTAACTCTATCTTAATACTGATTGCCTACCTCGAAGTCCGATCAAGCAACGTATTTATGCAATATATTCGGCCAGCCATTATCTTCTCTTCTTATAGCAATGACAACTTTAGCGGGGTTGAAAAGTCATGATTCGCTTCTGTCCAAATTGGACACTTTCAAACGGAAGAAGAAAGATAGGTTAGAAGTGGAAGAGCTGACAAAGGAGAGCAACCAGGCGATCAAACTTTCTTCTACTCCATTTTTTCCCGATCCGAAAGATTACAACCTACAGGAAGGCGAGGAAAGATCGTATCCAGAAATGTCATCTATGGTTAGTGATACCTAAGTAGTGGTCTTATTTGTCTACTATAGAAAGCTGCATGTTTTCAAGAGCTGACAAACAAGCTACTCAGTTGGATAAATAACGAACTAGCGGCTCAACGTATCTTGGTCCGAGATCTGAAGGAAGACATCTATGACGGCCAGGTGTTGCAAAAACTTGTGGAGAAATTAACTGGAGTGACACTTGCCTATCCTGAAGTTACTCAGTCCGAAGTTGGACAACTGCAGCGCCTAAAGGTAAGCTTTCCATTGACTGATGATGAACTGTTTACTTGCTAGGAGGTGTTGGCTACCATCAACAGTTCCCTTCGGGTTCGACCAACATGGACGGCAGAGCTTATATACAATAAAGACATCGCGGCCACTTTACGCCTTCTCGTTGCACTTGCTACTCACTTCAAGAGTGAAATGCACTTTCAGCCAGGTGTTTATTTGACTGTGATTGTCGCTCGAAAGCTTAACGGCAAGCTACAATATCGTCACGATCGGCAATACATCACTGAACTGACTGGACCTGAAAACTGTGAGTCATACTCATTGGGTGTACTTTCTTACCTAACCTGCCATGCCAGAAAGATATATTCCGATGGGTCACAGATTAGGCTACGTTTTTTTTTTGCTCCCTGCCCATGAAAAGCAGATCGGTAATTCAAAGGACATGGCCTATAAGATTTTCGGTGTGGATTTCGCTTGTCAACTCTCCTTCCTATGATTGATATTCTCAAGGAGCCCGTTGACTCACCATCCTTGTCTAACGACCGTGCGTGTCTTGATACCGTCTCCTCTGTTTCCTTCGGCGAAGCACTAAATTGGTTGTTGATGTATCATAGTTTTCAGTTTTCTACAGTCTAACGGTTCAGAAACGAGTTATTGCGATGATTACGGAAGATACTGTGCTGTCCTGTTAATGAATTCACATGTTGTTAAGACCACTACAGTATGTTCTATATCAGCTGATCCTTGCTTACCATACTAGACCACGTCGTCTAGCCTTGTATAGCGATGGCGTCTAACGTGTACCTTTAGAGAACTTTTCTGCCGAATCGACAGCTTGGTTGTTAAAAACAATGTTCTTGTGACACACCAATATTCAATGGAAAAAGCCTTTCGTACACTGCAGCCTACCATTATGGCCCTCGTCCATAAAACAGGTTGAGCTTCAAACACGTGTTGTCGCCTTTTGGACTACTCGCTCACATCTTTCTTCGATGCAGTGTATGAATCTGCTAACCATTTATGCGGGTCGTATCGCTAAAATCTATTCGATTCGCGTAAGTTTTGCGCTAGAGGTTGTCTATAGCTCATGACAAGATATGTCTCAATGTGTTCTTAACTCTCGATCTCATTTTAGCTTCCCGACCAGAGTTTCTGAGGTTGCGCGCATGCGTTGAACATCATCACAACACCAAATGGCCAGTTTGTTCCCGGCGGGATTTCAGTCCGCGTGTTTGTTACTGATTGAATCGTGGATGTGCTTTGAAATAATGTCACGGTTAAACGATTTTGTTTAGTTTTTCATACTACCCTTAATAAATAAGGTCTAATGTTTTCATACCCCTCATACCTTGTGTTAACTGATTCCATCTGGATGTGATCAGTCTCACTCCATTCCTTTTGCACAGCCACACACTTTCCTAGCGTCTTTTGTTATCGAAGGACCTGAATTAAACGAAGTTAGCCTGTTTTCCAAAATTACTTTCCATTACCCTCATAATCAAAGCGTTAACTTTCTGCTTGCTTTGTGCTCAACGCTCGCACTGTTGTTTTGTTATGTTCACTTGATAAATATCCCTATCTCCTCTCACCAACCCGTGTTCAGCTGCACATCCATCAGATTTATTATCGCGGGACCACCTGGTTGTGCAAACCCTGAATGACTTCGTGAATGCCCATCTGGGGCAATTGACACTCCAAGTAACCGACTTGGCACGGGATGTGAGTGGTATGCTTTTACCATACTTTTGCAATCAGGTACTATTTCTTTTTCTCCGCGTTATAGATGTGACAAGCAACATTCTGTGCACTAATTTTTGTCCACCACATGGCATCAGTGTGTGATATCTACCGAGGCTAAGTTCGCAGTTATTCCACTCGTTTATGCATCCCCCTTGTTTGCTGTTGTGTTAGTGGTTGAGTGTTTGTAGGTTTTTCGGGCAGTCTAATTCCACATATTCTTGTTTTTGTACACATAGTTAACGGGGTTTTACTTCAAGGATTCTGATGAATCTCGTTTTTCGAGACTGTTTTCTATATTCCAACTGTCAGATCCTGTGTATATTTTCTTAGAATCATTCAGTCACATGGAATGTGACCGCCTGTAAGCACGAAGACACTCGTGGAACCAATCATACAGTAAATTCTCTCCACAGAAGCTTTGATAATTTTCTTCGGTCTTTTGTGAGCCTCATTATTCCGTTCAAAGCATCTTTTGACCTCGTTTTCTGAGGGGGAATTCATACAGTGGGCCTTTGAACTAGTTAGGTTTTATCTCAACGATTATTTTCACGGATCGAAAAGTGTTTGAAATGAGTTTGCGCCTGGAATGACAGTATACCCGATCGATGAAGGATAGTGCAATAATTTCACAGCTTGAATTTGGATGCACAGTTGGTTTCAGCTTTTTTATGACCACTGCCGAAGGATACTAGGCCTTCGAAATTCATACAATATTCCAGCGCAGTGGGGTTACATATGCATTTGGGATGTATATTTTTTTCCTCCAATGCGTGTATATCGTTTACCAGTTGCCAGTTAACTCTATTTTGAGTCCACCAGGGTGCGGAGTGGATCAGTGGTTAGAGCGCGAATTTACTGATCGGAAGGTCCGTGGTTCGAACCTGTCTAGGCTTGGGCAACCTGGCAGTATTTCAGCCCTCGTGCTTCCTTCTGGTGGCATGACAGTTAGGCACCGAAAGGGTTCTATATCTGAACTGCCATCAAGGTGAGTATCCTCGATTGCACTGGGGCTTAAGTTCCGTTCATCTGCACACGAGGTAAGTTCGCTTGTCATCTCTATATCGGCATACACCGCTCAAATAGGAGTGCCCAACCGTCCTAGTTGTTCCAACCGATATGTCTGTAAATCCTCTCCTTCGTGTAGGTTCACAGGCGCTTTGAACTTGCCGAACGATTTTCGGTATTCCATGGTGAAATTCTACACGTGTTGTAGTTGTCTCCATATCTTTTTTGTTAGCACAATTCTTTTTTGCCTGGTATGGGACCAACCAGCGGGACACTCCTAGGTTTGACTAGTTATCTTCCCACTACTCACTCACTATTTGTTACTTTCCAGGACATGCGTGCGTCCATCTCGCTACCAACAAGATGGAGTGTTTCATCTTCCTTATGATTGTTTCGTTCCAGTTTTCTGACGGAGTGCTCTTGATCCTGCTTATGGGTCTACTGGAAGGCTACTTCGTCCCGTTCTATGCCTATCATCCGACTCCCACTACCGAAATAATGAGAACTAATAATGTCAAATTGGCTTTCGAGCTGATGCAAGCTGCCGGAATCGGGGAACCTCCGGCTCAACCAGAAGAAATCATCGCCGCGGATAGCAAAGCGATTCTGCGAGTTTTATACAGCATATATTCATTTTACGAGCGAATGGAACAGGAACGAAGACGATATGAAATCGCCAACATCCGGGAGCTGGAGGAGCCAGAAGAAACACACTTTGTCGAACCTGAGCATACCGATGCGGACTTACTGTGATATGTGTATGTTGTAACCTTTTGCAGCTATCTTCTTACCCGCGATCTTGCTCAAGCACCACTTTCTTCAGCCATCTGTAATATTTTTGTTCTATAAGCCAGTTAGCTATTATTAAGGAGATATTTCACTGCTTCAATCATGCTTTCATCATATCCTGTCGTCCAGGAAACGCGGCAAAGTGCGCCGCCAAGTGCTCTCTTTTTGCCTAATTTCGAACCCGGCTGCTCTGAGTTTTTTCCGTTCACAAGCATTCCACTGAGATTGTCGTAATTCTATTTGGACTATGATATTTTTCGTAGAGCGAGGCTTCTAACAAGTCTTTTGTCATTTTGATTCTTGCATATGTGAATCATTGAGCAACGGGCGTGAAATCTTACTTAGCTGGTCTTCAGTCTGTTAGGTGTTTTTTTCGTTTCTTTGCTTGTAAACGTCCCACTTTTAAGTGGAATAGATTGTTAGCATAAAGTGCTATTGGCAGGTAACTCGGCTTCAATGGTCTTTTTGCGCCTCTGCAGAAGCCATTGATATTTCTCTTCTTTATTGTTCACCACACCATCAATTTCCTCGCAGAGTACGTCCTCTATTTAGTTCATCTTCTGTAGCACTCGTGCAGTCGTGCACGGCTATCTCAGAGTTAGGTAACTCTTCCTTCCGCCTCTCCCATATGGCCTCAGTCGCCTAGCTTTTGGAGCTCGTATTGGGGTAAGTGCTTCATTTGCTTCTACAAATTATTTCTGTAACTGCTTGTTCACTTCGTTAATAGACCAAGGTCAATCGCCTTCGAGCCTAAGGCCACGCGGAGAATAAGACGCGAGCTACCCTTAAAGAAATTGAATGTAACTGACCCCGCTAGCGAGCCGTCTGCTATAAGACTACCATGTGCTGCGTTTGTGAGGGTTCAGTGAGCTATTTGCACCACAAGGAGCACTGACAGTACAAGACGCCATAGACTACACCCGGATTGCCTTCCTTTAGACTTCAATGGAATGAGAGGATCGTCGGATTATTGCCACACCATGTCCGATTCCAAAACGTTTATCCACTCTTATTACTTGAATTTAGCTACTGATTCCTGAATGCTTATTCGCAGTGCTGTTTTACTCGGTAAACTACTAATCGCATGTACCAGCATCCCCCTAAAGAACCTCGCTGATTTCACTAAAGTGCTGTTCCGAGCCAAATGTCACGAGAGGCCGCATCTGATAACCACCGCTGCTGGAACATTAACAGGACAAAACAAAGGCGTACAAACGGTCATTCAAAAACCAAAGGTACATTCATGTTCAAGTTTGTACCCTGACGAGGAGCGTAAAATTTTTGCCATCTNCCTGACGAGGGCGTAAAAATTTTTGCATCTATCAAACTGTCACCACCTGGTTTGATGTGGGCCGATCTGTGTTAATACGTTCACACATCGATCGATCTTTGTTTGCCTGTACCCGCATACCAGCTGCCAAAATGCATTTTTAGGACACGTCCCAAGCGAAAAGTTAACGCAATAGGTTGCGAGACTGCAATCCCAAGCCTTCACGCTTACTGATCTCGGTTCGACTGTGAACATTAATTTACAACATACTTAGTTTTGTCTGAACTAACAGGTATGATACCAACACTACCTGGTCGAAACTGCACCCACGCCACTCCAGCGTAAATTGTCCACCTTGTAGGGATTTGTTTGGTTAGTTCACACAAAAGGCTACTGTTTTAGTGGCACGTGTGCTAGCTGTGTAATCATCGAAGTCAAACAATGTTCTACCTTCTAGATCTTTCTCCCTTCCCCTAAGACACCCATCATCATCATCATCATCACCGGCAACATGACATCAGTGTTCAACATCGATGCTTCACTGCCGTACAACCATGATTTATTTGAAGGCCTCATTGTAAAGAAAAGAGTAAAGGTGGACGGGGAAGGGACTTAGTGCTAGCTTACCACAATAATTCCGAGGTGTCTACATCTCCAGACATTCACTCAGGCGATCTGGATAGAAACTGACAACAAGAACGCCACTGACATCGGTTGGCAGCCATATCTTGTAATGTGCCGGCTGGCTTAAAACACCCAACTAGCCTGCGACAACTCAGGTTTCGCAGTGCGACTTATCGACTCAAAAACCTGTGATTTGGACGTGTCTGTAATTTGGATTACGTCTAAGCTCGGGCACCTTAACAATGTCTCAATCCTGGCGTCTTCCGTGAGTTGGGTTGTAGCTGCAAATTTGAAGGCGCCGCGTCTCAAGAGCATACAATTTTCCTTACTCAACTGAACCTCATCTAGATCGTGTTATTTCCGCCAAGTGTGATAAGTGATAGTTACCATCATCAGTCTTGTGTTTGTAAGAGAGCCTGTACTTTGCTGCTACACACAACTTTCAATCTCACGGCCATGTAGCAAAAACTTGAACACTTACGTGTCTACCTTACTTATATGTATGACAGGTAGTTCCCTTGAATAAGAGTTATTACTCGGAGTAGCATGTTAGGGGGCCGTCACTAGCATTGCCAAACAATAAGTCAGCTTTTTGGGTGTTTCGCACATATATTGTGTTATGAAGTAAGTAGTAACAAGTGAGATTTTTCGTGGTACAAGATGGCCTGATTCCTTCAGACCTGAGATCTTATGTGGGGAATCAAAGGAGCATGAGTTGAGCTATGTCCCAAGTGCGAGCTAACCACACTGCTCATCACTTGTTTCTGGCCGAATTGTTAGGTGTTCAAATCACTAACCGGAAGGTCGCAGATTCGAACCCCTCACCCCGGAGTTTCGTGGGACACGCACTGCTGATGATTCCCAATAAAGATGAAAGAGCTGTATGGTCCATCTCACCTTTTCAGGTGGATTGGCTTTATACACTGGTCGAAATTTCAACTGCAAATGCCAAACTCCCATCACACTACCAGCCCTATTCTTAGAGGGCCATATAACCGACACTTTTTGTGCACTCGATGGTTGCCAAAAAGGAGCAATTCCTTCATGTGATTGAATTAGTAATAGGCGACTATACCCTTAAGAATCGTGTGGTCGGATGCTTGAAAACTGAGCCAGATAAGGCAGTTTTTCCTCGTTGCCGCGGTTGAACAGTTATCACAAATAGTTTGTGCATGCCACAATGGTTGGAATAAATGCTGCTGTGTACTGAAATAACCAATGAGTGGTGTCAGGTTCCTTGGGGGTCATCAGGCAAGTTAGTTTAACTTCATGATGGACTACTCATAAGGTTGCTGAAAATTTGTCGACAGCGCAGACCTGTTTCGCCCTTCTTGGGGCTCATCAGGTATGCACAGTCCCCGAGTTTCCGTCAATCTTATGTTCTACTTGAAACTTGGAAACATCACAAATCAGAGATTCAGCTGGGTTCCAGGTGAGTCTCTCGCAAAACCAAATTTATTTGCAAATGAGTGTTTTTCGTAAGTTTAACTTCCAACTTCTCTCTACTATCGTCGCCTGGATACCACGTACCGATGTCACCGCCTTTATTACACATTCAGCCGTATTCTGCCTGAATAGTTGCAATAGTCTCTGATGAGAAATACTAAAACCTACTCATTTTGTCACTAGTAACAACGCCCAATCACCCTCCTTCCATTCCCCATAGTCTACTTTTTGGGACCGTCCCAACTTCTTCCGATTCGTTTTCTCTTTCACTATGAACAGTGTAGTGAAAACTTGAGTTTGATGTGTTGCAAAACTCGTTTAGCTTGTACCCAGACCAGTACACATTGCTACAAGTTAGTCTACTTGCGCCGAAATTCTTTTGCTAAGTATGAAGCTGTTTACTTCGATACCGTCACTCGTGTGCATTCGAATAATGCAGGTGCGTCTAGATTAGTTGGTCGAATCACCATTCTGAGCTACGGTGGAACGAAACGGGTTGTAGTTTTTCACGCTAGGAATACATACATTAATTCACACGCAGAGCAGTCGTGCGAGGCATTGTGAAGTAAACACGAAGATATACGATATTGCGATAAACAACAGCATCTGGAAATCAATATTGCTTCATCAGGATGCTCGCCGTGTCGTTTCAGTGTCGAAAACTGCGCAAAGGTTACCACTGAGACTGGTGATGCGGCTGGTTCAGTGTCGAGCGCAAAGGTTACCACTGAGACTGGTGATGCGGCTGGTGAAAAAATTTTAAGAGACGTGACAAAAATTTACCAATATTTTTTTTTACCCAAGTGGGTGTTCTGTAGCTATTCCAAGTGTTCTTTGTGGGAAGTCGCCGGAATTTTTGGGAAGTAGGGATTCAGGAAAATGATTCAGTCTCAGGGTTTTATTTTGAGCAATATGCATAACTGCTGGGAACGCGGTTCATATATCCGTTATATTACACCCCCACCAACCTGTGATATCGAATGAAATCAGTTGTTCAGCATGCACGATGTTGGGCTGGCCTCCGTTTCTGGACTGACCTACCGGAAACTCTCCGGTTTTTAATGAGGTCAAAAAGTTTAGGAGGAGACTGTCAATTATCTGAGTTTCTCCCATCAAATCAAAAAGTAAAAATGTAAAACCTTGGGGAGCACTTTTGGGCCCGAACTAATGTTTGGTTTCTCCCAACTATTTGGAGTGTCGTACTGAAGCTGAGCTACCGTTAGAACATTTTTACACGAACAGACAACATTCTAAGACGGGACCAGCCTTCTGGTAAGATAGGGATGTTTTATATATGACCAGCATAGCTAAGCTACATTGATTTGTGTTCAGAACAGGTGTGTGTGATCAGAACAGACCTTTCAGTTAGCAAAATGGAAGCAAATCATGCAGTTTTGTATTTCAGTCCTCTGTGAATTATGTGCTAGAAGAGCACATTGTGTTTTCGAAGGAAAACTATGAAGTGGCCCATACAAACTAGAATGACTTGATATTTTATGTAACTAACCGGGACAGTACTAAGTATCTAGTAATTTTATCATTATTTAACTTTTTATGCAATGTTTTCCGTGAAACAGTGGTTCTTCTCAGTATGCACATATAAATTGTATCTAGCTGTTGTTGGAAAGCATTTAAGGGCTACTGCAGCGAAGTGCCTGAAACTACTTCATTGCTCTTACCAACTTCGAGCAGCCATGATGAGCACCATTACGTCGGGCCATTTTCGTGTAATAAGGCATTCAAAATGTCCGTACTTTGTCTTGTGGTGCGAGAGCTGTATTTCCCGTTCACTTTGGCAACCTAAAATACATATCAAATCTCACGGTATATGTTGCCACTCTTTCATGAAAAGTCTATTTGTTCAGTCCACTACTTCTATTGAGTTCGCACAGCCGAACGCTCACTGGTGGCTTCGTACCACCGCACAATGACATTCCAGAAGGATGCCGGGTTAAATATCACGACGGTTCAGGGGACATCAGACAGCACGAATTGGATTTCACTGGCTACTGCGTATTACTGTAGTTGCTTTGTCTAAGCGATCGTTTCAAAGCACACAACCAAAGAAACACTCAGGTGAAAACTATGATTCGAACTAGGCATTCGAATTGGAATTGCTCTTCTGGCCAATAAGGAGTGTGGTCAGTAAAGGTAGCGTAGAAT